AGACGGCTCAGGCCATGAACAGAGCTGGTAGCTTCACTGGGGGTGGGTTGTTTGTTCTGCCGGTATAAAGATTCTGGGAAGGTCAGATGCAACTGTCTGCTTCAATTTCTATTCAGAAGAGGGTTATTTTTCCAAATGCAAGAGACATTCTGGTTAATGGGAGCAGGCTGCTTTTCAGACTAGCGGCAATCTTTTCTGATGGTTTTTCCTGGAGGATTGGTCTGCCCATCATCTGGAATTTGTAACTCCTCTGGAAAATTGGCTGAAAGCAGTCAATCTGGTGTACGGAAAGCAGCCCTGAATCTTGCTGCTTTTGTGCGGGAGAAAAGAGGGTCAACCTAAGGAGCAGCTACAGAGTGTTCATTCTCAGAACATCATAATCACAACAATGGGGTGCACGCTGTGTCCCTTGCTATTAAGCTTTCAACTCCCAGGATTGTCTGCAGTGCCCTGCCTAAGATGGAGGGAGAAATTGGTTGAGTTGTGTTGGAACGTGAACTCCTCTGTTCTTGTATTTTCAAACAACCGCGCGCACACATGCACACACAAAAGACTTGGTTATCCTTTCAAATTCGCACATTAAACTTTGTGATGCCCTTTGCCAATCAAAACAAGCAAACGGCTGTTACGGAGAAGACTGCAAAACGTGCTACTTAGGGGAAAGGATTTGCAAATCTGCCGCCATGGGCAAACTGGCAATACAAATAATGTGAACATTTGGGGGGGAAAATCATAAACGTTCTTCTACATTTTACAGAGTTTTTTTAAAAAATACCAGAATGGGAGGGAAATGGTAATAGAAAATTTAACAAAGTGAGAGAAATCAAAATGGATAGATTCACAAAAATGAGAGACTGTATGAAGAGGAAATGGATAAATCCACCCATTTCTGCAGCATCTCTGAATTTTCACATTGGAATCTTTCCTAGCTTTACAGGCAAAACTGATGCCAGGACTGTACGGAGGACTTTTTGTATGCGAGGTCTGTTTCCACTCCTGTGCGAATGCCTTTCTGAGAAAGGCTATTGATTTATTTATTAAATTTATATAGTCACCCATCTAATACTTGTGACTCCGGGTGGTACATGCAATTAAAATTTTAAAAAACCCCAAACAATCAAAACAATTAAAAAACAAAACCATTAAAAATACAATTAAAACTATAATAACAAAGAACATGGAAGAGTGCATTCTGACCTTACACACAATACAACCATTTAGTGGATCCACACTTCCAGGGGATCCCCAGGCCTGATGGCAGAACCATGTTTGAAGGGCCTTCTGAAAGCCAGTAGGTTCGGGGCCAATCTCACCTTGGGGGAATGATGTTCCAAAGAGTGCCATGGCAGAAAAGGGTTTCTTCCGGGTTCTGCCAAATGAAGCTCCTTGGACGATGGGACCCACAACATGCCCCTGTTGCCAAACCTGATGGGACAGGTAGATGTAACTGGGGAGAGGTGGTCCCTCAACCCGGCCCCATGCCATGAAGGGCTTTCAAGGTCACGACCAGCACTTTGAATTGGACCCAAAAGCAAGCTGGCAACCAATGCAGCTCACGGAGCAGAAGTGTAACATGTGCCCTTCTGGAAGCACACATAAATGCCTGTGCCGCTGCATTTTGCACCACCTGAAGCTTCCAGATACTCTTCAATTAAATAAAATGAAGAGAAAGAGAAAGAATACACAAAATTATAAAAGAAGGAAAAACAGAAACAGGATTTCACTGGGGACAGCCTTTAACTCTCCTCATCCTGCTTCTATCCAGCAGTTTGAGATATCTAGCTCCAATACTCTTTTACATCCTGCCTTGCTGTCTATCCCCTTCATGGATCACTGCCTTGTCGGGGCGAAGGGGCTTGCATAACTCAGTGAAGCCATGAGCTATACCATGCAGAGCCACCCAAGATGGACAGGT